AGAAATCACGCGTAGAACCTATTAGGAGGAATCGCTTGAAACATTATTTGAATAAGGAATATTTCCAACTCCATAATCGTTCAGTATTCTGAGTTTTCGGTACTGTTCTGCATTTTCCATGCTAACAAATCTGAATGACTTCTTGTGAATGTGTTCTGGCGATACCTGAATATATAGACACAGAGAGAGAGATAGAAAAGTAAACTGACATTGTTGTGTCAGTCGAATTCATGCATAACAGTGAGATCGGTTGTATTGTATGGAAAACACTACAGTGACAAGCTCTGACGAAGGTCGTACCATCTTAAGTAAGGATAGGCTAGAGATGGTAAGTGTAGACGAGGAGTTCTGAGGTTGTTCACAGCCTTCCAAGTGACAAGCATATCATGAACAATGGGAAATTATTATTGTCTTCTGAGTTAATATTATTTTACCAGGTGTTGAATGAATACAGAGGAGACATGAGGACGGGAGAACTTTGAAATTTTGACAACCAATCTCACTCAATTCAGACTCTTCATTCTATCGATCTTGCCCACCCGATCGAACAAAAGTGGTAGATAATAGACGAATGATTGTCGTGGACAATAGTAAGAGAACAAATGGGTGAATGTTTGGTTATGTGACAGCAGTTCACCGATTTAAACCATTACTACACCCAATAATTTCCGATTTTAACCAGAATTTGTCCATTTTTGTCCGTCTGAGAATGATCAGGTGATCTTCCAACCACTCATCTTTCAACCTAGATAGTGATATCCATGTTACACGCCATAACCAAGTTCATCACAGTTGACTTATTATCTCAAAATATTTGTAGGAATTATCGTCATTAAGATAAGTATTTCTATGTGAGAGGTGAAGTGTATTGTCACTGAGATTCAATAAAAGCCTCCGGGATGTCCTTCTGCGATCACACGGCTGAAGAAATATATCATGGTGCATTTAATGATCGCTTCATATGTGAAAATCTGGAAGTCGCGTCATCGTCTAAAGGAATCTTAATGGCAATCTTCAATAGGTCGGTCTCTCCAACTGCTCTAAAATAACTCTGGTAAACTCTCAGCTATTCAAGATTTCCTATATTCTCAATGGATACTTTGTCCCAATTTCGATTTCCACTTGTAGATTTCGCGCTGACACAAGCATAACATTGAATGACGAGTGTCCTGATGGTAATAACAATGAGCTTTGGATATCCAGAAAATCACAGAACAGATTGTATAGAAGCATGTATATTCCGAAGGAAAGATCCAATCTTGTTCCAATTAGGCAAGCTTCACTCGGATGTCAGAGAGTATTGCCAATGATCAAGGTGAGAGAGTTATTGATATAAGGATATAAAACTTAGGCAAACTGGTGATTTCATTACGGATAAAACTTTATTTTGACAAAGTCACACAGTGTCATACACTAATATTTACTGATGACGTTTCGAGAACAATTTATTGCTCATGATCACATCAAGGCACTCACACAACGTTCTTGTTTCGTTCATACACATGAGTAAAAGTTGATTAGACATTTGAAGAAAACCAATATAAGACTTGAGTGAAACGGAGAGGAAGATAAAGTACATTCGGAAATAATATCAGTAAAATACAATAGGATGGGAAATAAGACGAGTGCTGTTAGTCAGTAAGATAGGAAATAAGATGTGTTTTTTTTTACAGTAAAAATAAGTAGCTTGTTAGAATGTTATAATGAGAATTGAATGCATTTTAACATTATTTATTATCCTCCTCTGGTTTGACTGGTAGTAATATCTTCCATATATCTGGTATTTGCGTTGAGTCTCTTCTATTGCATGTGTTGGGTGTAGACTCGATGAAGCAGGATTCGGTAATCAATCTCTCTCTCCACCTACCTACCTATATCACCTTTTAGAATTTTGACTCTGTCCTACCCACCCTACTGTGTGGTTTTGTGTTAATGCATGCAGTGCTATTGCTGAGTTTTTTCTCTCAAATAGTTATCTTCGTGGAATCAATCATTCTAACCGTGGCTAAATTCTTATGTTCTGATAATCTGACTACTCCTGATCTACTAGTCTGACCTATGTAGTTGACCCAACTCATAGTCATTGCAAGGTTTTTTGTCACAGAATTGGTTGTATTGATAGCATTAGTAGTAGAAACAGAAGAAGTGTTAAAACAAGGGACTAAATTTGACAAGAAAGCGGCCCTTCAATCAGTGCCAAACACTGGTGTACATTCAAACGTGAAACGTTGAATAGAAAATCATATGTAAATATTCCGCCTGAATCAGTTAAACAAGAATTCAAGGCTGTCAGATCGTGTCATTATATAATATGCTTCCGGATAAATGAAGAAGTCCATGGGTATTGTTGTAAAACTTTTGTGATACCATTATGTTAACATTTACGTGTATGTACGTGAAATGTGTCTCCGGCTTCGATTCACTTCTGCATATATGAAATGTCATGTATTCTCCTGTCGTAGGTAGTATATTCGTTACCCATCCGAAATGTCGCAATATTTGTTTTCATTTGTCCTTGTGAGTCTGTATTTGTGGAGTGAACTGACTCTAACAAATAACTGCAACTCTCGTTCTTTTGGTCCAGATGCCACAGAATGATGGGAGGTTAAATAATTGTATTACTGTTTGTTACGATCTCGGCTCGATGCAGTCGCTGACCAGTTTTGCTGAACAACTAGGATCATCGATAAAATATTCGTAGTAAGTATTGTCAAGCCTCAATAAAGTCTGCTTATCAGTTTAGGTAATGAAATATTTCCGACCTAATTCGCTAACTCCAACTTGATATGTGATTATATTCATGAATATATATTCTGACAACTACACAGTGACTACAGTTTACTTACAGCGAAAGAATCCCATCCAGCTGCGACAAAAATACCTAATAATGACCTCGGTGATATCATATTCCTTTTATGCCTCATGTTTTGTATTCTGTGCAATCGGCAGTGTTGGTGTATCGTTTGGTCACTGAATGAAATGGACCGTCACTTGTAAAGAACAGCTATTGTTCAGTGCTTTCGATTAATAACAGCTAAGACCGACTTTTAAACTAAGTCTTATGGAATGTTCTTCATTGGTTCATCGGTGTGTCAGTTGTTCAGTCAGTAAGTCAGATAGCCAGCTACTTTTCAGTGATTATGATTTGGTGATGTGATTTAGATCTGATGGGGTGTCTAAGTAGGCTCGCAGACAGACTATGAAATAATAATATAATATGAATACGTGGTGCCGAAACACTGCATAGAAAATGTTGGCTTAGACGACGAGATACTGTTGGACGCCATCCAAATGGTGTTGCTGACATAGTTACGTGCGACCACCTTTCCTTATCATTCGTCTCATGTAATTACAATGAAATATTGTCTACAATAATAAGACACTCCTGCTTTTTCTTTCATAGACATCAAAGTACGTCAATGATGCTTCATCGGAAACGTCAGCAGAATCACCACCGCAAACACCTGCTGCACCTCGACGCCATCCTACACCTCCACCCCATGCTCCAAAACGACCACCACTACCACCAATTTGTTTCCGAGTTCCACTACCGCCTTTTCCACAACCTCCACCACCACCACCATTCTTTCTATCGCCTTTATCCACGCGTTCCAACGATCAAGCCACACCAGCGCCTGGTGAGTTAACGTTCTAACTCATTTGTCAATGTACTTTACTTTGCTGTAGTACCAAAATGGTGAACACGTGTTCTTCATCTTCATATTATCATATGTTGTGTTTTACTCATAGCAGTCACATACTTCAGCTGAATGCAAGCGTGAGGACGGTAAACATCCATCAGCAGTGATCTGAAATGGAAAGAGTCACAGATATGCACCAACTGACCAGGGAGTACTGGACAGCTGTCTCGTCGTTGTTCCAGACTCTTCAGCAGTATGTGCCCATGGCCCCACCACGGATCGAACCAAAGACCTTTGGGTTACAAGATGAACTGGTATACCATGGAAACACTGGGACGTCACCTGACCTAGCAGACACAATTTACTGTGGACTCCTATCAATCAACTGATTGAAACGGAAAGCAGGCGTATAAACGAATTTCGTTGTTAAGTACAGAGCCAATGATAGTGATAAAGAGTGGCACATGCACTAGGTTTGTGCCCACCAGGGATTGCATACTCCTCAGTCTTGAATTCAGCATTTCACTGTATAGTGAATATGTAAGTTCAACCATTATAACGCGTTAAATAGAAACTAACTTTCGGAAAAAATCATGTGGTGAAGCTTGTAGAGTATTTCACCTACCGATTATGCACAGACAACTCCTATCTGGCTGATTATTTTTACGCCACCACCGGATTCGTGACGCCAACTACAAATCAAAAATTGATTTCTCTCAAAGTCAATTACCAACTAATCTTTGGTCACTTCCATAAAATACACTTCGCTATATTAATTCTCCTACCTCGCTACCATCTTTTCCTCTATTTGAACAGAGTTACCGATGCCATACAACATGAAACCAAAGGAGACATTCTCGACTGCATTCAGATTGAAGAAGGCTTGCGTATCTCTGGTAAGTGTTCAGTGACATGTGTATATGTCAGTGATTTTAATAATAATAATAATAATAATAATAATAATATTGTTGTTGTTGTTGTTGCTGTTATCACTATTATTATTATTATTATTATTAATAAAAACACAAACCTCCACTGAGAGATGCTGCAGACAAAATTCCACAGACTGCGATACCCTCCAGATGCCCAGATGGAGGCAGGTGGTTGTTTTGCGACAACCCTATGGGTCTTTCATTTAAAGTATTATCTAGAATGCAGTGGGCCAGCGTCAGCAACAATGTTCCCATGATTGTGTTCCACTGACCACGTGTACGGCTGTAGTTGACCATTTTTCTGAATTTCTCATGTTTTAATGAACACTTACTTATATTCTAGTGAACCAGTAGTCTATTCCACTCTGGTTTACTTCTCTGGCGTATGCATTTACATTTTTCATCGATGAATAAAACTCTTTTTTAGCATGCACAAGATGATGTGAATGTGGACTTGACAAGGAGATTTGGAACTGTGAAAGTGCGTGACGTGCCTGTGGAACCTATCAGTCGAATGAGCCTATTGAAGAATAGAAATAGAAGTGTTCAGATGTCAGTGAGAGGTGGTAATACCAGATTCTCCGAGGTAAGTCCATCCATTGATGTTCATTTTTTCGCTTGCACAAATTCGGATATTATTGGCTAGGAGCGGTAATTACATGGCTTCTCCAGGAAATGTGCTTGACTAATTACTCAGACAAGTAGGTATTTTGAATCACTAGTGGGCAGTTAGGAGCGGATGGACATTATATCTCCGATCTACGGTATCTTTCAAAATAGGTGGGTTACTACAAATCTACTAATGTTTCTCAGTGGAGATAAGTCGGACAAACATGTGTTACAATCTCAGTGAATGTACCTGAAATGTTTCTCCGGCTTCGATTCACTTCTGCATATATGAAATGTCATGTTTTCTCCTGTCGTAGGTAGTATATTCGTTACCCGTCCGAAATGTCGCAATATTTGTTTTCAGTTATCTTTGTGAGTCTCAATTTTCGGAGACGAGCTTGAATTTTAACATTTTCACCTGAGTTCATGTCACACTATTCGCTTTCTACTGGTTTGCGCTTCACTTGTTATTTGTGACAGTGGAAGTGTTTTCTGTGATTAGGTTTCTGTAACACGTCGCATATTGCGTGTTTTTATTGTTTTACTTACTGCTGTGTTTGTGTATCACTCATCTCTCTACACGACACATATTTGCAGTGTGGTATTTGCAGCCTATTCGAATGAGGTACTCCTATTTTTATTTTTCTCAGATTTTCGAATACGATGAGTCATCATTCACTTCACAAGGATCATCTCCAACCTATGCTTCGGAATGTGAACCAGTGTCAAGTCGAATAAGCTGATCAATAAACAATGTTGAGGTCGACCGCTTCAGTCACATTAGTGCAATGTGAGTTGGCTATCTGATTCATTGGTCAATGTACTGACTGCACTTCACTGCAACACGAAATTCGTGAACGCTTATTTTCTATCCTACTTTTATCATATGCTACTTTCCATTCATTGTCTTTACACACTTTGCATCATTTAGATCCATGTATGTGAACAATAAATATTCATCAAGATTAGCCTGAAATACATTGTAGTGAGTGGTAGTTATGTACAAACCGATCTACTGAATACAATTCACTATGATATTTTCCCAAACAGTTGAAACTGAAAAGAAACGAACGAATGATTTTTGTAGTTGAACAAAAGGTAGCAATAGGGTTAATGATAATAATAATAATTTGCTTTATTCCAGAAACGGTACTAGTGGTACAGTATGGAATTTTCAGCAAATATCTACAATATTTGCATCTAATTTTATCAAACATTTAAAAGGAGTATTTCAAAAAACAAGTATAAAGACAACAACAGCAAAAAGTGAAACTTCATACAACTTGTTCCCTTGATAAATTTCCATAAAGAAAGGAAGACGAAATTTGCAGCATAAAATGATATCATTCTATTTCACCGGTTCTCATCAGCTGCAGACTACCTGAAATTACAATGGTTATATAAATGATAATAACATAATATCTCGTAGAGATTTCTAAGTCCTTCAAAATATTAAATAGACAAAGGACAGCAAATTTACTACGATTTGCCGAAGCGGTCGCAATCAAACGATTTAAACCAGACTTATGCATACAGAAAGAGAGTGTGATTAACCTCTCACTCCCTTGGTAACTGAATTTTGATTTTGATTACAATAATTAGTCATCTAATTCAGTGATCTCAACTCACTGAACAAATCTTAATCTCATAAACTGTAACCGCCTTTGTTTTTTAGAGTTGCTATGTGAACCTACAAGCTAACACTGTTTCTGTTAATCAATTTTTCTGTTTTCTGTCTTACCTCCTCCCCCCTCTTTTCAACTTTGGAAGTGTATAAATTGATGATGATAACTTAAACTAAAAATTGTAATGCTTTCATTCTTTTTTGGATGCGTCAAATTTATCTCTTCTCTACTACTACTCAAACATTAAAGTATGTTATTACCATTTATATAACCATTGTAATTTCAGGTAGTCTGCAGCTGATGAGAACCTGTGAAATAGAATGATATCATTTTATGCTGCAAATTTCGTCTTCCTTTCTTTATCGAAAAAATAAAACAACACAAAAATAATAAAAAAAATACGAAGAAGTAGAAAGGAAAATCAACTACATAAAATAATATCTCAGTATTGGGTAGTGGAAGCTATGATATGTTTGTGCATGGTGACAGTAAAGTTGTAGTCATACAAGAAGTTATGAAATGATATTTAAGAATGTTTATCGCCAAGATGATCAGTTAATTTGGTTGAAGCAACACTAAACAATGATAAAATAACATTTCAGGGTTGTTTTTTTATTGTCAGGTCTAATGCGGTGTTTGTAGTGGTAGTGTGAGTAATCCTACATAATACAAAATTTTAAGATGGTGATAATGGCGTCCACAACCAAGATTGTCAGTTAATATTGCCGAACAAAAAAAACAACAACCACAAAAACTAATAATTACATGATGGTTAAATGACAGGACAATTTTGTAATACTCATAGTGCTAATGTAGTCAGAACCAGTAGATACACGAAAGAAGGAATAGAGTAAAGTACAAAAAGGTAAGCCAATATTCATAATTTAGGTAGCTAAGTATGTTTAAGAAAGAGCGCACTACAGAATACAAAATAAGAGAGAAATAAAAGAGCCTAAAATTATGTTATTAACAACAAAGCAAGTCATAGGTTGAAAGCGTGACACATCCGCTCGGTTTATGTCCAACAATAATTCTGTATCTCACCGAACCATCAAAAGTAGAGCAGTCGAATGTGACAACTAGACAGATCAATTCAGTGACACGACCCCATCCAAAATATTTTTGACATTCCTCAGAATCATAGAGCATTTCTAAGCCTACAAACACTACTTCCATTTATGAAGACAGGTTTATAGAAAAGAAAAGGAGTTCAGCAAAGTGTTACTCTTTTCGGCGATATCATTCTCAAGGTGTACAAACCTCAAATTTATAGTAATTTTTCTTGGCAACAAAAGGAATATTTCCAAAGATGTGTTAATGCAATTGTTAATTTTTGACAGTAAATTACGTAATTTAGAAGGCGTTAGTCGGTTAGAAACTAAAATAAAGTTACAAAAGTAGTTTGGGTGACGTAATCTATTTGATAGGGTTCAATGAAAAATGAATGAGAGTTAAGTTGATTATCTGAGTAGAATTCACTTAAAAATAAACGAAAATGGAGTTAGCAACAGTCGTCATGAGGGTAGAGATTTAATAGAGGGTGGGGGTAGAAAATAATGCAATTAAGAAACAGACAAACAAAGAAGAAAGAGGTAAGACAAAATTACGTATTTGGTGTTAAGATAGATCAAGACCATTGTAGATTTAGTGACTGAACAAACTTCTTTTGTATGCAGAGTTCAGGATTCAATGTGTGAATTGCCATTGCTTCTGCAGTTTGAAGAAGTTTAATTCGTACTCTTTTGGCAAGATTCGTACGTATTGTGTAGATAACTGAGAAGTTGTTTTTTGGGTTTGCTTGGTGTCCGGATTCGATCAAGTGTTCTAGGTTTATTGGCAACAGAATTTTCTAAATACCTTTTATGGGTTTCCAGTCATCACAGTTGTGTGTGTGTGTGTTTGGTGTAGATTAAATAAAGACTCCGTGATCTATTTTGTACTGATTATATTAGATTTTAGAGCTTACGCTTTATCTTATCATATCGAACGTCAGCCCACGAATTGGGGAAGCCGTAATTCTTCCTGATGATTGATGTTTTGAGGATCGCTTACTCTATATTTAGTGATTCTTTTGTGCTCAAATTTTCTGACTGACTCCGTCAGACTGCTTCAACCTTTATACCTCACCGCAAGATGATTATGCGGCATTTTATAGTCTGAATGATTTTGCCCTTCTGACGATTAATGCAGCTTCGTTTTCAGATAATTAATGAATATAAAGCTGCTTTAATTTCAGTTTCTTTAAGGAAACGATGAAATTCTTTGTTATCCTTTCATTTTACGGCAGCAACATAGAAGTTCTGGACTTCATCTTCCGGTCACTCAGTCTTTCATTTTCCCCCTATCAGATCTCATTAACACTTCAATGTATTCTGGCAGTTAATTACTGGGTAGTAATGCCTGTTTAACATGTTTTAATTTTGTGTTTAATTTTAATGAATCTCGCCTTAAGAGTATTAGATGAAGGAAAGTAACATCTAGGTATGTATCATAGTGCTTTTTTACTGTGCACAAGATGAGGCGATGAGATTTCTTTTTTTGTTCATTGGGACAAAACTGTGATAGTTTGTCAGCTGTTTATTCCATTTTGGCTTGCGGTAAATTGATCTTTGTAGGCTTCCATCTGATCGTCTTGTAAGTTGGACATCTAGGAAGGATAATTTACCTTTTGATTCCGCTTCAATTTTCAGTTCGACTGATTAGTGAGAGTTTTTGAAGATTTACAGGATTTTGTTGAGGTGAGTATTTTCATCGGTGATGAGAAATATATCATCTATATACAGATTGTACACTTCGAACTGTTTGATTTCTGGTAGGAGGAATATATGCCTCAAGGTACACCATGAAGCAATGGACCAAGTAGAGAATGCATTGCTACTTTATCCTTCTGGCCGTACATTTGACCATTGAATAAAAACTGAACATTTGTTGGGTGCATCTTAGGGTTAGTTCTTTGAAATGCTTAGTGGGTATGCCAAAATTTAGATTATTCGAGTCGATAGACTCACATAGGTAGCATACAGTTTCCGTTAAGGTGACATTGTTGAATAGAGAGACTGCGTCGAACGAAGCTACAGTTGACCCAGTTACATTTGCGAATTCACCAGTTCCAGGTGAAAATTCACGGGGGTTTCCAATGGAAACCCCTAATAGTAACATGACAATATTTGCTCAGCTTGATCCCATAAATGACAATGAAGAAAGCTAATGAGAAGAGCATGATGGTGTATACTGTGGATTGATATGAGTAGTCGGGAATCAGTCACGTTAATCAGTAGTGCCTACTAGCCAGATAGAATTGATCCAAACGCCGGACAACTTTTTCGTTCGTTTGGCGCCGAGCTCATCAGCGGCGTACCTAATAGACTGAACTCAGAGTCAAATCGGTTTAAAACACCCGAAATGGATTCTATATAGACTAATATAAAGAATTTATAACTGACTAAATTTGAGAGTGCAGTAATTTCTCACTAGGCTTTACAACTAGATAGTGAGCTTATTAATCCCCAAACATTTAATGCCAATTGGTCAGCAGAAATAAAGTTCGCATATATGCAAGCCGCTACTTACTATTGATTGACATGAGTAGTTGGACACCACTGGCAACAATCAGTAGTGATTGCTATTCAGATCGAGGTGATCTAAACACAGAACAAAGTCTCGCCTGTCCAGAGCCGAGGTCGTCAGCGATGTATCCTACTCAGATGAGAACCAAGTCAGTTAAAATCATCCGAATTCTAGCTAGCTACCTAGGCGAACTGGTAATAGATTGAACTGAATTCGCGATTTTCAGGTTGACTGCTATTTATGGCATCAAGCAGATCACATATTGTGATCTGAATAATCTCGACTACCTTAGGAAACTGGTGGAATTTCACCACGAAGTGTGTAAATGGCGAATCGGGAACTAACTTGCAAATTGCGATATTGATGGGATTAAAGTTCAGGTATATGCATTAGTGGATAATAATCAAGTTGATTGTGGTTATTATCACAAGGATAAGTTTATACAAGCGTCAATCATTGTGAATGTGTATATTTGTAGGGACGTGGGGGCAAAATATCTGTCTGGTAGCGATTAAGTAATGGAGTTCTTAGTTTCATGATGAAACGTACAATTGTAATACCACGTGACGATGATGAAAAGATACA